TAAGGAAAATTAAGATTCTATACTAAAGCTGAGCAATATTTTTATACAAAGAAAGTCTGCATTTAAAAAACATGCTCCAATTAGTTTTATTTTGCTAACAGAATATTAACTGAGCATATACTAAAATGTCTCCTAATCTATCTCTACTTTTTTTTGTCTGAGTAGATACTCTATTTGAAAATACACACCATAAAATGTATTACTAACGCAAAAACTACTTTTTTGGCATGCTTTAATAAAAAATATACTAATTTTGCCATTCATGATTTTAGAAAATCTGTTATTATTAGCAATGAACTATGAACTCATCCGTAAATATTAGGAAAGTCTCCAAAATTTCTTATATACACACATACATAATATTTACTACCAGGTAAAAATGTGTTACATATTTTACAGTTACACATATTTTAAACAAAACTTTAGAAAGAAATTTAATTTTGGCAAATAGAAATAAGTAACAACTGTGTACTTTCTATTCTTATGTAACAAAATTCTCAATTGCTAGACTGTCAGTTTTCTGGTGAAAAAGGAGACATTTTGTCCTAGGCTATTTAATTTCATGGGAAATCATTTTCTGATTTCACTACTAAGCTTACTAGGATTCTGAAAAATAATTTAAATATTGTTAGTTGATTCAATTGGACAACTATGTCAATTTTGCTAATATCGGTCATCATCTAAAGTTTTTCTTTAAGGGATCAAACTGCACTATAAGGAAAACAATGTCATTACATATGTGTTAATATCCACCAGGTGGCAGAATAACATAACTGAGTATACATAAAATGCTCCAGATTTTTTCTTAAAAAGGATATTTCTCTTGATAAACTTACATAAGTTTCAAACCTACATGAAATATCTGATGTTAAAATACAAGTTTTACAAAGTAGTTCCTTGGTATCACATCCCACAATAACATTATAACCACAATAGCAATTATTACAGAGTATCTCTATATGTTACCATCGAAACATCACAGTAACCTTGCAAACCGGCCTATTTTCTCAGAGCACTGAGTTGCCTTATCTCATAACATTTATTCAGCATCTTTTATGTGTCAGAACTATGCTAAGTGCTGAGAATAGAACAAATTTTCTGCTATTGGAAAACTTTTCTAATTATACAGAGATAATAAACAAGCAAATAAATGATTAAGTGATAAAGCTATGAGGAAAACAAAGCAAGGTACTGTTAGGGAAAGTTATTGTTGCATAGAGGTTTGGCTAATTTAATTTAAAGCAGGTTGCCAAGGAGTCCTCATTGAGAAGGGATTTGAAACGCCACCAGAATGACAAGAATGCAGCCAAACAAATATCTAGGGGTAAAACATTTCGAATAAAAAGAACAAACGCAAAAGTTCTCTAAGGCATTTTTAAAAAATAGAAAAGCCAACAGGTTAGAGTGTTATCAGCAATGAGAAAAGTGACATGGGAGTTGGGAAGAGATTTTAAAGGTAGGTAGAATCTAGAACAAGAAAAGCCATATAGCCCACGGTAGAAATTTAAATTTATTCTAAATACAATTAGAAGCCATCAGGAATCAGACTTGGTTTGCATTTCTAAAAGATACTTCTGGTTGCTGTGTGGAGCATGTACCACAGAGACGGAAAAGTTGAGAAGTTACTAGTTATCTAGGGGAGAAAGGATGATGATGTGAGACAGTAGACTGATAGCAATGAAAAGTGATTGGATTTGTGACATAATGTGGCAGCAAAGCCAACAGGACTTACTGGTGAATTGTACTATGTGGGAGGTGAAAGAAAGGGAGAAATCAAGGGTGATTCCTAGATTTTCAGCTTTAGTAGATAAGTAGATGGTGACACTGCATACTAAGCTGGCTTTTGAGACAGAAATCGTTAAGTTCCATTTTGTCCAACTTAATTTGAGATGCCTATTAAACACACAACCAGAGATCCAGACACTGGATGCACAGGTTTGGAACTCTTTGGATGGTCACAGGTGGAGGAAAGTTTGGGAGCCATTGACATATAGTTACTTACTATTCAAATAACCGGGGAAGTGCAGATAAAGAAGAATAGAGAGTCCAGGAAAGAGCTCAAGGGCAATCCAACACTCAGCAATTGGACAAAAGAGGAGGCACCAGCACGAGTTAGAAACTCCTCAGTGGGGAAGGGGAATAATGTTTTATGAAAACCTAACAGAGACTGTTTTAGCAAGGCCTACTTATACCACAAACAATTACACATTCAATAAAAGCATAATCAGTCAGCTATGGACTGAATTTCAGCTCCACATGGTGTTTAAATAGATTGAGAAACTTTCACTACATCTTTCACAAAAGA